AATCTTCAGGACTAATTTGCACTCAAGGCCTTCTTTGCAAAGAACTGTTAGGTTTATATTAAAAAACTAAAACTTTGAGCAACTGCAGAAGCAGAAACTAGAATTTTCTCTTTAAAAAAATATATTTTTATTGATTTCAGAGAGGAAGGGAGAGGGAGAGAGAGGTAGAAACATCAATGATGAGAGAGAATCATTGATGGGCTGCCTCCTCACACCCTGTCCTGGGGATCGAGCCCACAACCTGGACAGGTGCCCTGATTGGGAATTGAATTATGATCTCCTGGTTCATAGGTTGATGTTCAACCACTGAGCCACACCTGCTGGGCATGAAGTACTAATAAGGTACCTGTTGGATTAAAAAATAAATGCCATGCATAGTCTAGCACCAGCCAAGCCTTCAGAGGACTGACATCCAGGCCCACATTTTGATAACTTCCTGAGCAAAAACCACCCAGCTAGGAGATGCTCCTGAATTCCTGACTTTCAGAAACTGTGTGAGACAACAGATATGTGTTGTTTTAAACCATTACATTGGGGGTCGCTGGTCATGCTGAAGCGTCCTTTGGAGGACAATGGTGATTTTCTACTTGATCTACTTGGGTGTTGTTGGTTAATCTCAGTTTCCCTCTCCATGACTGAAATGGAACCCTGTTCTCAGATCAGGCTTATGGACACATGTAGAGCCAAGAGCCACATCTGATGTTGGCGATGTTTTTATTTAATGTGGGTGCTGAACTGCTGCCCAGGTAAACAGGAGAAAGGCAGTCTTAATCCGACAGAAAGACTTTATTACCTCGGCCTTCCCTACTATGATCTGAAACCCCTGGGGGCAGATGGGTTTCAAAATTCAAACTTTTATACATTTCAGAACGGTACTCTACTTACCTCAAACCCTCAGTGAGGTCTGGGGCAACAACTTGTCATCAGAAATCACACATTAGTATTTATGCAATAAGATGTATGATTATTCATACCAAATGAGATAAAGGAAGACTAGAAAAAGCTTCAGGATTTTCCACTAAGTATGTTCAGTAGGTTAGATTTTTTTTTTCAGAGCGTTTAGATTTCAGAACTGAATAATGAATTGTAAACCTCTACTAATTTTACATTGAAATTTTCTCTCCCTCATCTTTTTCTCATGTCTCCTCTTGTCAGATAGCTATGTAGTCACTACTCAAGTCTACTAAGAAATGCTTTCTTTAAATAGTTTGGAGTTTCATCTACCTCTCAGCGGTTCCCGAGCTTGGCTGCACATTAGAGCCAATTGGGAGCTTTGAACAACTACTTATACTTGGTCCCCAGCTAAATCAGATCCTCCGGGCATCAGTATTTGCTGCTGCTGTAGTTTCAAAGGTTCCTACGTGCTTCTAGGTTGTGTTGCGAGTTGAGAATCATTCTTCTATTTAATAAGGTATCTTAGTTTTTCCAAGACTCAACCTCTTTATCTTATGACCATTTCAACTGACAATCGCTCTTTACTTTTTATTTTGTTCTTCTCTAATTTAATTAATCTATAAAGGAACATGGCCCACTGTGTTCTAGGTATTAAATGAGGTTATAACTCAACACAATGATAAGATTCAGTTACTAGCGACAATTTGACAGACACTAACTCTTCAAGTACCAGGAAAGTTGTAGGGATGCTTTTTAAGAAACTTAAACTTTAATTTAAAATGCAGTTCATTCGATATAAAAAAACTATATAAATCAAAACATCTGTATTTGGGTATGTTTGCTCTTGTAAATATCTGTATAGTGGATAATTAAAGGACTGGTTAGACGTATTTCAAAAATTCCACTCTCCTCATGTTGAATTGTTTGGATTTTCTATCTTCCATAACCAGCAGAGCTGTTCACAAAGTAGTCCTGAAATTTAACAGGCACAAGAGCCAATCTTATGTCTAGCATTCTGTCTTCTTTACTTTCTGGTACTTCGATAGTGCCTGCAGTCTCTAAATCTGAATGCCCACAAAGCTGTTCGGCATCAACACCAAGACTCAAGAGGCAACAGAGTCAAAAGCAGACTCTGGGTGCCCGGGAGCACCTCCGTGGGAAAGGTCAACCGAGAAGACACGAGC